GCATGTATAAAGTGCTACTATTGAATTTACAGGAAACATTATGTTCAAATTTGGTTTATAAACAGAAAACTATGTGGCACCACTAATTCCAAACCCATCTGTGGGAAGAAAATTACTGCCGAAATATTAGAAATGAATGAACGCCAGGAAACTTAAGAAAACATTTGCAAATCTTCTAACTCAGTATTACCTTGACTAAGCAAGTAACTTAAACATAACATTTCCAGGAGTGCACAGATGTAAGGAAATCTGAATTTTCCACTTAAAGAACACGGTTGTTTGCAACTCCTCCTCACTCTTTTAAACACAGTTTGGCAAGTCTGCATCTTTCACTTTCTAAGGTCCTTATGTTGACTTTGGGGATGAGGGCTCCAACTTAAACATACTTCTCTGCAATTACACTAATGTAATCAGAATCCTTTTATTCGTAAGTGCCTCTTGGAGAAAGATTTCATTTAGTAATGAAACATTTCATTTATGGCAAACACAAAGGATAATAATTCACTGTGTTTTTCAAATCTTCTCGGACTGGGAAGCCTGATACCAGCTCTTTAATTTTTAAGGAACAACTGTAACCAAGACAAAGGAAAAATAAGCCCCACAAATATTTAGAGCATTTCCCTCTCACAGAAACCTAATTGTTCAAAGTAAATCCAGTTATTAAAACAACTGGAAGGTAACTGAGAGATGTTAATGGATGGCAAGAACGGAGACAAGAATGCTTCACAGAGAAGGGATAAAAGTTCAACCTCTAAAGCTATAAAAATGACAAGAAATTACCTTACTGGGTTGCTGTTTTCTAGAGGAACTGCTACACAAAATGTTCACTCAAAAAAGCTGGTTTCATATTTTAGTTTCTTTGCAGATGAGCTAGTAAATCCTTTAGGATTACAAGCAACCAATTGTATGTTGTGATAACTTGGACAAAATAGTCTTGACTGTACATGACTCCTCGAATTAAAAAACCTAACCACTTTATTGCTTCAGTGTACTCCACTTATACTCAAATTCAGTATATTCGAATGATATAATTCAGGCCACAGTTGTTTGGCTTAAACCAAAGTTATAACCCTCATAATGTTTGCCTGAATTTTTGGATGCCTTAGTGACAGTCCCTTGAGATATCACCTCATGTTAAATACACAAAATACACCAGGAAATATTTGACAATATCTTCTTTTTCTTAATTTTTCCACATACGTGTCCCCCTCTATATTCCAAAGTTCAAGAATACAAATCTTCTACATTTAAAAACAATATGCTAAAATTTTTACAAATGATATATGGCCCTTAGACTTTTTGATCCTAAAGCCAAAAAGAAAACAAAATGAAAAAAAGAAAATTTGTACATCATACATGGTCACAAACTTCAATGACATTGCTCCTATTTACAATACAATGAAAAACACTTAAGTATTAAGTTGCATTTTGTATAAGGGGAAGTGTAACAAACTTTACTTTTTTTTCTTTTCCTTTTCACCCTCTGCCACCCCCCCCTTTTTTAAAAGAAATGGTATGAAAATAACTATTTGTAAAATCCAAGTCATAATTCTAACCACTTATATGTCTGAAAGGTACATTCATGTTCTTTTATAACATGAATGACATACAAAATTTTTTTTTGAAGAAGTGATAATTTAAACCTAAAGTAAAAGATTTTTTTAGCAGTTTTGACCTTTTTTTTGTCCATAGAAAAATATATTTATACTTTTTAGGCCATTTATACCACAACAGATAGAAAGTTAGGATTAACTAAAGCTTTATGGTATGATAAGTCTTTCAAATCTTTTAAATATTTGCCTTGGGAATTCTCAAATATTTTAAAGAGCTTAAATAAGTGTCAGAACTTTCTTCCAAAACCATGGCCTTAAATCACAACAACTTCTATATTAGTTTTTTGTATTTCTTAAGTACTGCACAAAAGTATGGGGCTGATGGGAGGTAATTTTTCAGGTCATCTCATTATAATGAATTATTCAAAGAATAACTTCTCTGACCACTACACCGCCAAGGATTTTGATCTGCTACAAAAATAAAGTTCAGGAAAAAATCCTAAAAAACTTTATCAAAGCAGCTTTACCAAGATGAAATAACATCTAATTTATTGCTGAAGCAACATTTGCATTTGGTGAGAGTGAATTATTAAGGATAACTGTAGTGCTGTTAAAAAACCTGCAATGCTTCTATAATAAAGGAAAACTTGGGAGATCGTATTGCAGATGATGAAAAGCAACTAACAAAACAATCTGCTTTGGTCTGGGAAATTTAAAGATTGAAACAAAACAAGAATTATAATATATAATTTTAGATATTTTCCTAAAGCACTGAGAGGTTAAGTGACCGGCCAGTGGTCACACACACACAGTATTTATCAGAGGTAGACTTGAACCCAAGTCTTACTGATTCCAAGGCTGCTGCTGCCCTTTTATTCATTAGACCATGAAGCTATGGTATTTGAGCTGTTATCAATACAGTCCTAAATGTATTTTAGAAAGCAAGTAATATATAGTTATAAAACCACAACAGGTTAACAAGCTGTCCAACAAACCAGACATGCTATCATATTGATGCCTTGGAATTTAGTGGTAATCAGTTTCTATCTGTTTCATTTGGTGGAAACAACATAAAAAAAGCCATTATGCAAAACACCTACAAAATTCTGGCTATGGAGTCGAAGCAGATTCCACAGAAATTAAAAATCAAAGTCTGTCATTTTGATGAATTGGGTGATTTAATGTAGACTAGTGAGAGAGCAGTTGGGAATGGACATCTACTATACTTTTTGGCCTCAAATTAAGAAGACTATACTTTGAAACACTGGTCATTTGACCAGATTTCTGTTGTATTGTACTTGGCCAACAGTGCTTTTATTGTTATAGGCTAAAAACAGGTTAACATAAACTATAAAAAAAAATCACCCACAACAATAAAACTGCCTGTAAATATACCCCACATCATTGTGGTATAAATGGTTTTTGTGAACACAAAACTGCTTTGGCAAAGGTACATAAGAATATTTAGATATGCAAAATACAGATGCTATGTAGTACACTCTTATAATACACTCTTTAAATTCCAGTACATTTTCATCATATGAACATAAATTCTTTCATTGTTAACGGACACGTTCTAAATCTTTATGGTAGACTTTAAGTGCTTTATTAAATTAGCCCTCTGTAATAATAAAATTACAGCCCAAAGTTTTCCTATAAAGTCTACCAGTCTTCACAAAGTATATTGGACTAAAGACTTTACAAAGGCTAAAATAATCCCTGTAGGGAGGTAAGATAAACAAATTCGTGAATCAGGACACTATTCACACCTGCCTTTGAAGCATAATTTTTTGTTTCCTTAAGTGAAATCCCATGACTTCATTATAATTGTCATCCAGTGAAAACAGCAACTGAGGATGGGTCCCCCAGGGAGAAATGAAAAAATGTAAATCACAAACACTTGCGGAATTTAAGCATATTATATAATATATATTAATGTAATATGTAATATATATTAAGAGGGAACAAATGATTAGTCATAGGATCATAGTGTTAGAGACTAAATGCCTAAGCATAAAAAGATGGTAGCTGGAATAGGGAGCAAAGTAGGCATGTAATCCAAGCCTATTGTATTAATGAGAAAAAAAAACTGAGGCCTAGGGAGTTTAAGTGATATACCGACACTCATACAGCAGGAAGCATCAGAGACAAGATCTGAAGCCAGGTTCTTGGACTTCAAAGCCAGTGCTTTTTCCATTGGATCAAGATGTCTCTCTAGTCATCAGAAGGCAGTGTGGTATATATAGCACACTAGACTAGAAGTTTGAAGACAAGGGTTCAGGACTTTGGTTTTCCTAATAATTGTGTTCAATTCTCTCCCAATCTTCCCTTGTGGATTATTTTGCCTTTCGGGGTATCAATTCGCCTGTTTGTAAAATGAGGGGTTGTATTAGACGACTTCCAGGTCTAAGCAGAGGGCTGGATTTGCTCATGTAATAAAAACATGACCTTAAAATTAATTGCTCATCCCCCCCCCATCACTGATGTTAGCTACTGTGAAATACATACGTGTGTGTGTGTGTGTGTGTGTGTGTGTGTGTGTGTGTGTGTGTGTGTGTGTGTAGGCAGCATACATGCAAAATAGCTTTTCTGTATCAAAGCTTGACAACTCCAAGTAAACACCTTTTTTCAAGGAAATGGCTTAATAAAACACATTGATAAAATTAAAACCAGTTAAAAATCAATTATTTTCTTTGAATTTCCCTAATCAAGATGATCAACATTCTTTTCAACTGGCTATGTTGGTAGGTCATTGTTAAGGAATTTAATTCTGTTGACTATGATCTACCTTGAATGTATATTTGTGCGCGCATGTGTGTGTGTACACATTCATATACATATTCTAAGATACTGCTTTTCCTTTTATTGTGAACATATATTTAATACCCAAATAGTCTCTAACATGCTATGGGGAAAAAAAACCTACAAAAGAGAGATGATAGGTTTTTCTCTCTTATTATAAACGCTTTTAATATCCTGATTTCCACTCATCAAATTAAGGATGGCAATGAAATATTTTCTTCTTGGGAATGGTGAGAGAAAAGCTGGCATTTCCTAGCAAAATATTACTTAGGAAGGATAGTGATCAGAACAATAATCCTGAAATTAGAGACCATTACTAAGTAGAAATGATTTTTGTTTGTTTTTTTTATTTTTAGGCAATTGGGGTTAAGTGTCTTGCCCATGGTCACACAGCCAAGAGTAGAAATAATTTTTGACCTGAAATTAAATTTTTGAAAAATTCCACAAGTTTCAGTTAAATAAAATTATAGAAATGTTCAGCAAAGAGGAAAGAATAGGTATATTCATGAAAATGGCTTTAGGATCCTCTTTGTTATTCTTCTGCTGAAAGACAATAAACTTGTTAGCTCTGGAAGGATATTAGGCTTCCAACACAAATGTAAAAATAAACTTGAGGGTATTCCCTGATAAGAAATGCAAGAGTGAGACATTTAAATATGTTTATGACAATTCAAAACGTTACCATTTACTTATAGGCACTAACGACGGCATAAGAACTCAAATAAAACCAATGATTACAGTCGACAACAATAGCTCAAGATGAACTCTCACTGATGAGAGATATCAATCATAATGTTTGCACATATTCATATTCATACAATTGCCTCCTCCATGGTCTGGTTTTCACTTTTTTTTTATACAGTGACAAATCAAATGGCTGAATTTTCAGTTTAACGGAAAAAAACACATTAGTTAAAATAGTTATTTGGTATCATGTAGACAAGATTATCTTACCATTTGACTGAATTTTTTACTTTTCACTAAGTTCTACTGGTATTATATAGGCATCTACTTTGCATTTATCTGTGATTGGTAGAGGACAGGATTTTTAAGCAGGACCAACTATATTTCTTCATTGTTCATTTTGGGAAGAATATGTTATTTGGGAACAAGTAACAGAATTTACCTTTAGTTATCATGTAATTTTACTGTTTAGTATAAAATCCTGCAAAACCTCACGGGTACTGATTTTTTGAGACTTCTATTAACTTATAATTATTCATTTAGATTATACTGAAGTCTCTCACAGTGTGGAACATTTTTAACATCCAAAAATGGCATTCTAAAATGCCCATTTGAACCTATGCTCTACATAATTAAGACAATACACAAATCTTCAGAAAACCAATTGTAAATAGTATCTTTTCTCAGTCATAATATATGTATATACGCATACGTATATACGTATACACATACACATATATACATATACATATATATGTATATATATATACACATATATATAAAATTATCTTTTCATCTCACATTCAAAATAGATGAGTAAATCCCTATGTATATCAAACTGGACAATTTAAAAAATTCTTTCTTCCCACAGGTTACAAAAAAGGAAATAAACATATACACAACCAAAATGAATTCTTGTTATTATATCAACTAGAGAGATAAAACTCTTCCTCCTGATATGTATATAATTTAAATAAGTAGCACAGGCAAACAGGGGCAATATAACTGTACACCACAGTGACAAGAAAAACCACAGTCATAGTAATTAAGAAAGAAAATCTAGAAACAAACCAACAGCGCTCCATTGCTTACTTAAAAGACACCAAACCAAACAGAGCAATGTGGACATAAGGTGACATCAATCAAAATGAGTTTAGAAAAGTAAATTTTTGTAGGGGATGGGAAGATAAAAAATCACAAGTCATTGTTACAGATTTATGTCTGTGGTATCAATGTATTCTTCATATTGCCACCAAAAGACAGCAAAGATAAAATTAAACATCCGATATGAAGAACCTAGTAGCTCTCACTGAAATGAAAACCCTCTCCCTCAAACGGAATGTGCCACATTTTAAAATAATTTCACAGCAGCAGACTGCTTATTTACTCAGTAAGCAAAATAGCTTTGTTTTTCACAGGAACAAGCAACCACTGAATAAAAAGGAATGACATTTTCTCGACCCCTTATATCACTATATACTTCCAATACTAGATACCATTAGAAATGTGAACCCATTCAAAATGCATAAAAAGGTGAGAATGTACACTATACACACCTTCCCCACAGGGTTGTATGAGTGCCTTTTCATTAGCCATTTGGGAAGTCTCAAGGCACTTAAGGGGTTAAGACATAACGCATGCATTCATTTACATTATGTATGGGAAGTTACATGACTTGAAACAAACCAATTTTATGGACTGAGACTGCCATGTTATCCATTGCAAGCATTCTGTAGGTTCATATTTATATTTTTTATAAGATGCTGGCAAATAAGCGTCTTTCTAACAAAAGAAAATTCCATTTTTCGTCTAATAACCAGCAGATCTATTTCGAAGGAGTGTTGGGTAAAATGTGCCACATTAATAGGCAGTGTATTGGCTAATATTCAGAATATTGCTAATGTCTTAAAAAAAAAAAAGAACCAGTACACTGTAAATATATGAAACACTGGAGAAGACTGTGGCTAATGTCTGATGTTTACTTATTTTTGTTTCCAAGATGCAGGTGTGTAACATAGATGGTAAGAATTCCAAGCCTTGTTTTTATCACTTCCACCAGAAGAGGACTGGATGAACATTACCATGACATTTCATAAATTACTCTGAACCCATTTAAGCTCATTTATCTTTTTTTTTTGTTTGGAGCAAAGAATGAAATAAAGTCTTCAAACATAAGAGTTATAGAGTTTGAGAGACTGACTTTTGTTTCAACATAAAGTGCAACAGTGCTGAATTTTCTAAGTCTTTTATCAATTCTTCATTGTTCTCTGATGCCATTGTCTGTAAGTAGTATTATGGTGGCACAGTGGATACAGCCAGTTCTGTTATAACGGACAAGAATGTCTCAACAAAGATCCCAGCCCTTTTGCTCTCTTATTTATGCAACTATGTCTTTAAAGGTTTAATAAATCCTTCTTCATAAACCTTCAAAATAGCTTCACAAACAAATCTGTATTGACTCTGAAAAAGAAGATGGAATCAGAGAAAAAGATAGTATCAGTAATATAAGCCATGCTTTCTTATTGGAACATTACCTTAATTGCATACAATCCTTTGGTTAATACAAAATATTAAAACAAAATCAAATACCACAAAAGGAACTCATCCAAAACATGACGATTAAAGTCAATGATTTGAAAAAAAAAAGAGAATAAAAATTCTATGATTATCTTTAAAAATTCAAAACCGTCTAAACATTAAATCACTTTTACTGACGTATTATTAAACTAAATCTGATGTTGAGATTATATGTATTTCAAATATCTTAAACTTCTCTAAGCCTCAATTTCCACACCTTTAAAAATTAAGAAAATTTAAAACTCAAAATCTTATGGAAGTGAGTGTTGAAAACTAAAAATAAACAAATTAATTATTAAAAAAAAAAACTAAGAGGGAATGAAGTTTGATACAAAAGGTCTTGTTTTTATCCCTGGGTTTGCTACTCTAGCTTGCCAATATATTCTCCATTGTGAATCTGACTCTTTTGCTCTCACCAAATTCTATGCAAGGGCAGTGTTTAATCGCTCATCACGTTATACGTACTTTGAGCACTATTGAATCTATGGCCTCAACATAAATGAGTTATATCTGTATTTGAAAGGTCACTAACAATGAAATTTAAAACCTTGGTCTTGCACATTCAGAGTAAGACTTTCTTGACTAGCTTACAATTAAAATATACAATACTGATTACATTTTTCTTTCTATGAAACACTATTTAAAGTACCAAGTTAATGCTTTTTAATGAGATTTTCAAAAGTATTGTGGATGCATTTTGGTTTTTTATTTCTAAACTTTCTGGAAGCAAAAAAAGAAAAAAACCATCTTCCCCCCTGGATGGAACCTTTCTTTGTTACAGACAGAAATTAAAACAAACAAACAAAACCTGATTAACCACATCTGACAACAGAGACAGTGTTCTATTCCAGCAGGTCAATGCACTGGTATTTAAGTGAGTCACTGACTGTGACATATTGGATATAAGTCTGATTATCCAGTCTCCAGGACATTCATTAGTTTTTTCCTTTACTGAGAGTCTGATTTCTTTTTAGTGATCTTTTCATTTACATTGTTTCAGTCACTGTGTATATTGCTTTTTGTTTCTGCTTTATTTGACCCTGTATCAGTTCCTACAAATCTTTACATGTTTCTCTGAATTCGTCATGTATGTGGTTTGCAAATTGCCTGGGACAAATTAAATTTGTTGATTAAAATAAAATGAAATTAGACCAAATTCCCTTCTAGCTCTAAGATTCTATGATTCTTTTTTGGATTTGCTTTAATGCAATTTGATCATAGTCACCCAATAGCCTAACTTCCAGGTTATTTTATAATAATGGAAATTTCATTATAACAGACTTGTCAATTCCAATAGAGCTATTACATTGGAGGCTCTCTTAAGATACTTCATTCAGTGATTATATGGTTCTTATTGTTCCCCATGATGTATATGATACTGGGCAGAGAAGTCTGGGTATTAAATAACTGATATGATCGTTTGTAAAACATCAGCACAGTAGACAGAAGATTGGCCTTAGTGTCAAGAAGGCCCGAGTTTAAGTTCCACCTGCGGTGTACAGAAGATGCGTGATCACAGGGAAACCACAACCTCTCAGGGCCTGACACTTCTCTCTAAAACCATGAAAACTGCAGTTAGGTTGCTAATGTGCATCAAGACAGAATTTTCTGACTGGGATAAAATCACAGGTCTGGCTACCACCTCCATGGCCACTCCAAACACAAACACACAAACACAGACACACACAGATACATACACACACACACACACGCACTTTCAAAATACCTGAATACAAAAATTTGCTGGGGAAGGATAAAATAATTGTAATGTATAATAAATTAATATTTGCATTCAGCACAAAAAGCACTATACTTACAGGTGTTTGAATCATCATGGCTCTTTGATCTCTCATTGTCCTTACAATATCTAGTGGATAAACTGGTTGATTGCACTCAATGAGACACATAGCTGTTTCCATAGTAATAAGAACCCCTGTTCGTCCAATCCCAGCACTAGAAAAAAAAGAAATAAATGGGGTAGAGAACTTGGCTGAAAAATTTCTTGATGAATTCTTATAAACGAGATGCATTACAAAAAATTTAATTGAAACTTTAATGATCATATTCTATCTGTAAGCATGGGCAGTCTGCAATGGAATTTTTTTTTTTTGGAGGGGAGAGGAGGCTAGGCAATGGGGTTAAGTGACTTGCCCTGGGTCACACAGCTATTGTTATATGTCAGAGGCTGGATTTGAACTCAGGTCCTCCTGAATCCAGGGCCGGTGCTCTATCCACTGAGCCACCTAGCTGCCCCTGCAATGGAATTTTAGTTATAGAAATAGGATTAAGAAGAAAATCAGAACAATAATGGTCTAAGAACTTGAACAAAATTCTCCTATTTATTGTTCCCCAAGTTACAATTTTTTCCATAATTAGAAATAAGAATATTGGTTAAAAATTTACATTTATTTTTTAGCAACTCGATTAAAAGTAAGCAATCTGCTTGTAAGCAGATTGATTTAAAAAAAAAAGCTCTGGGGCAGCTAGGTGGCGTAGTAGATAGAGCACTGGCCCTGAAGTCAGGAGGACCTGAGTTCAAATCCGGCCTCAGACCAAACACTTGACACTTAACTAGCTGTGTGACCCTGGGCAAGTCACTTAACCCCAACTGCCAAAAAAAAAAAGCTGTAAAAATTGTAAAGTAAGAAACTACTACCAACATCTTCTCTTTCAAACTTCCTTGTAGTTAACTACTTTGTTTATTCTCTTTATATTTATTCTACATATACTAATTTATGTCCTTATTGTCTCCCCTGTTAGGATGCAACTGCCTTTGAAGTAGAGATTTACTGTATTTGGATTTCCAGTGCTCAGCATAGAGTAGGAATTCAATACTTGTTGAACAGTATGTGTTAGGACTATGAGGTAACCCCTGCTTTCTACAAAGGCTAAATTCAGCATTCTTCCCACTACACCAAGGCTTGATTTATTTTGTGAGGAGACCTAGGTATGTCTGTAGGCAAATGAGAAGGTGACAGCAAAGACCTAGAGACTGACCATGCATTTCATTTAATAAACATTTACTGAGTGTCTGCTATGTGTAAGATACTTTGCTAGGCTCTGAAAATACAAATCTATTCCAAAGGAGAGAGGAAGGATGAGAGAGAAAAGAATGTTTATCAGAGTCTTGGAGGAAGACATGATAAAGGAGAAGGGAGTAAGGACATAGAGAGAGAACAGCTTTAAGAAAAAGTACCTGAGACATCTCTATTTCATCTGAGACAGAGGAGAAGATGAGTGATGATACTTAGAAGCTTTGAGAAACAGTGATGAGAAAAAGAGGAAACTCCTTTTAGATCACTTCAATCTCCCTTGTCTAAAATGCCCTTCTAATTTGTACCTATTTAGTTCCTATCCATCCTTCAGGGCTTAACAAAATGCCATTTTTTCATAAGCCCCTTTCCTAATTGTCTCTAGCTGGAAAGAATTCTCCCTTATCTGAATTCTAATAGCATTTTGTTTATACCTTTTATTGTACTTTCCTTTTCCTTCCTTCCTGCTTCATTTTTTTCAATATGGCTAATGCCACAATTTCTTTTGTATAACTATACATATTTGTAATGGACTTTTGCTTTGTTGCTTTCTCAATGGTAGTGGAGGGTAGAGGGGACGGAGAATTCAGAACTGAAAATAAAATTTAATTAAAAAAAAAAAACAACAATTAGCTGCCTCCTCTTCCATATGGGAAGCCCAACAATTCTGAGTATATCTCGTCAACTTGTGAAAGGTACACAGGAATATCGGCAAGCCTTAAATTACTGTAAATTAATTAATAAATAAAATTTAAATTAATAAATAATAAATTAAATAATAATAGTAATGATAAATAATAAACTAATTATAGTTTAAAGAATGATACATAAGGATAAAACATAATAAACAGTCTTCCTTTCAGATAACTTATTTATGGGGGCAGCTAGGTGGCACAGTGGATAGACCACTGACCATGGATTCAGAAGGACCTGAGTTAAAATCTGGCCTCAGACACATAAAACTTACTAGCTGTGTGACCCTGGGCAAGTCACTTAACCCCCACTGCACCCCCCCCCAACAAAACCAAAAAAACAGATAACCTATTTATGCAGCTGTTTATTCCAAAAAGTCAGCAAATAGAATACCTGCAATGAACAATGATAGGCTCTTCTTTGCCAGCTCTCTTATTTCGCACATGACAGACAAAGTCAAGAAAGTCACTTGAATCATCAGGGACTCCATGGTCAGGCCAGGCTATGTATTGAATCTGGGTGAGTTGACGACTCTCATTTTTCTAATTACAAAAATAGAAATTGTGAGCTTATGATTTAGGAATGATATTCAAATATAAAAGAGTTCTTGCACCTTAATTTTGAAAGTAAAGCAAATCCAAGCCAACAAAAATTATAACATGCAGCAATGAAATTTTAAAAACAGGTTTTCCTGTATGCTATGAAAAAATTAATGTCACAGAAATAGTACCTACTACTTTGTTTTTAATAATCTAACATTGATACGTGTAAAATTAACACCTATCCCCATTTGAAAGTTCTGGTTCTGTTGAGAGCACTGATCTTTATGACAGTTAAATGTAATAATAATAAACAGCTAGCATTTATGTAGCACCTACTATGTGCAAGGCACTGTGGTAAGTGCTTTACAAATCTTGTTTTGAGTTTCACAACTCTGGGAGGTAGATACTATTATTATCCTCAATTCACAATTGAGAAAACTGAGGCAGCAGAGGTCAAGTGACTTAAGATCACATATCAGGTAAAACTGCATTTGGTTTTGACTTAACATAAAAAGTTTTCATTACAATTTCTTAATAAAAGGGGGGGGCAGCTAAGTGGCACAGTGGATAGAACACTGGCCCTGAAGTCAGGAGGACCTGAGTTCAAATCTGACCTCAGACACATAACACTCACTAGCTGCGTGACCCTGGGCAAAGTCACTTAACCTCAACTGCTTCACCAAAATAAATAAATAAATACCCCCCAAACAAACAAACAAACAAAACACCAAAGAAGTACAACAAATGTGGAATAAACATCTTATGTTGTCCTTGGAGGAAAAGTAAAGATTTCTGATTTCTTAATTTTATGGTATTCCATAAAATGATGAAAATTTTAGGTCTTAGTTCAAAATACAGTGTATTCTATACATCTAGATTATTCTTTGGTGGAGTTGGGGAGGGGAGAAATACTGAAAAACAGGAAGAAGTGATTATCCATTGGGGTCTCTGTAAAGGTGATGAAAAACAAGATTGCCTAAAAGTCATTGAAAGAGGTGAATCCTGGACAGAACTGATAAAAAAACAAAAAAACATTCTGAGGGGAAAATGCTTGTGATTATGTAACTTTAAGTTCCTCATTCAAATCTTTGGGAACTTTAAACCAGGATTCTCTTACTACTGTGGAATCTTAAAAAGTTCACAAGATACTCCAAATATGGGAACACCTCATACATGAGGATAACCTCACAACTTAGAAGATGGCTTCAAATTCAGAAACAAGAGGGGAACAAAGGTTATGTGTTGTGTGATAAGCTCGTCACAAAGCTGAAGCACTAAAGATCATAAACTCTGTATTTATGACAGCGCCTTGCAGATTTTTACTTTGGCTCAGCATCTCTATCAGACCAATAGGAAAAAAAAAAAGGTTGGTGTGCTCTTTTGCAGGGCAAAATATAGTTTTTTTACCTTCCCAACTGTGTGCCTCCACCGTGGTATCAAACACAAATAGAAAGCATTAAATTCAAGGGGAAATGGGGTCATTCTGTAATGAGTGCATATTGATTTAGAAAATCACATATTAACATTATCCATGTTCTATTGCATTTTTATTTATTTTATTAAATATTTCCCAACTGTATTTTAATTTGGTTCCAGATACATTCATTCTGACGCCTCTGGCCTAGATCATCAACTCTTTGCCCTAGAGAAGGGTTTCTTAGCCTGTGGTGTCTGAATCTGCTTTTAAAAATATTTTCCTAACTGTACTTCAATTATAACTGGTTTCCTTCTGTAATATTATGGATTTATCTTAAGAATTTAAAAACCACTATTCTGAGAAGAGGACCACAGGTTTCACCAGACTCTCAAGGAGACCTAGAGACAAAGAAGATTAAGAACCTGTTAGAGGATCAGTTCCTAAACAGTTTCCATTTCTAGAATTGGTGGTATCCAAGTAGCACACTGAGAAAGGCAGGTAGTGGCTAGGAACACAGCACGTCTTTTTAACTTGTTCAACAATTTCTATTCAGCTATACAAAGTGAGATATTTTACTACATAACCAAGACCTGTTTTTAAGACATCCAAAGTAATTAATAACATGGTTTTTTCACACAGCTCAATATATATATATATTCCATTTAAGTCTAGAGCTAGATAGAGCCTTTTCTTTGAACACAGTTGACACTGGATACAATGTGCCTCTCACCTCTAAGTTACATAGTGTCATGTTTCTGAAGACATAGGCAGAATTTCCTTCTTCGGAATGGCAGGTGACCTGGAAATTCCCATACAATGAACTTTCTGTGAGTTCTGGCCAATACTGGTGACACTTAACCTAAGAAAAAAAATTCCCAAAGGAATTGTGTTTGTATTTATATTCATAAATGCTACATCTGACCCAGAGACCCTCTTGAACATGTACATTTATAGAACACTAACAGATGAAAAAAGTGCTTTCCATCTCTGCCTCTGATACTAGCTGGGTGGCCTTGAGCAGGTCACTTCCCCCTACCCCTCCCCAGGCCTCCGTTTTCTCATTTATAAAATGAGGGGCTGGACTTGATGGCCCTGGTGGTCCTTTTAGCTCTACATCTATAAGCCAAGTATTCCTTTCATTTTCATAACAAACATATGAGGTAAATTCATGTGAAAAACCGAGGCTGAGAAATAACAATAATTCATTATTGTTATTATTGATAGCATTTATATAGCACTTTAAGGTGCTTTACATGTATTACCCCATCTGATCTGTCCTCTGAATTTCACTCTAGTGTTCTTCCCTTTATAACATGTTGCCTAGAACTAAAGCATCTACAGCCTTTCTGGATGCAGCGAGAAAAGCATTTGTAAATTAGAAGGATTATATGCCAATATGTAGTACAAAGGATGGAAGATTAATTAATAGCATCAGCTAAAATCTGTATAGTGTTTTAAAGTTTGCACAGCACTTTATATACATTATTTTATCCTAACAACCACCTTGTGATATAGGTGCTACTATTATCCCCATTTTACATTTCAGGAAACCAAGGTTGAAAGTGGATTAAATAACTGTCCAGGATTACACAAATAGTAAATGTCTGAGGCAAGATTTGAATTTAGATTGTCTTCCAAATGCTTAATAACTGTTGACTGACTGTATATTCAGCATGGACAGGATCATCTTCCCAATGGGCCATCATCTCCTGGCTTTACTGGCACTGGGCATATTAGTACCTAATAGTTACTCATTGATTGACTGAAATCCAAGGAAAACCTTAACCAAGACATTACAAGAGTGTAAGGCTACAGATTAAAAAAAATTAATTGATTGTTTTGGTTATAGAAAAGTTCTCCATCTAGTAGCACATAGGATCCAAGCTCTGACTTACTCTTCCTCGTTCCACTTGTGTTGTCAACATTACAACCATGGAGGAACCTTGCTCCCAAGTCATCTGCCAAAAATCTGTACAAGTGTTTGGTAATGGCCCCTGACAAGCAATGTACTGATTTATAATGCTGGAAGAAGGGATTTCCATCTAAAAAGAAAAGAACACAGGCACATAATTACACTATTTAATTATCATCCCCCTTGGTCAACTAAGTATATGAATTATAGAGTAAATCTTTGCTGGATAATTTAGATTAAATTATAAAATCAGATTAGAATGGAAAAGGGCTTTATAGCTGAAAAAGACATGATTGACAGCATAAATTTTCAGGGCTGTTTCTGTTTGATTATACATCTCTATTGTAAGACAAATTACGATGGAAAGGCACATGTAGTACGATAAGGAAAGAAAATGATAACAAGTCCTAATGTCTTAATTCTAGGAACAATAGAGATACTTAAAATATATAGGTTCTGACATAAAATTCCTAGCTAATCAGTAGTCATTGTTTTGTTACTGCCATATTTATGAAAATAATTTAAATCAATAATTTATTAATTATAACATGCAGAAGAGTGAATCTTATTAACACATTTTTGATGACAGTACAACAAATCTTTTTTATCCATGTCTAAATTTATCAGGAGAGGAATGTTTCTGGTAACGCTGATCCTCATAACATCTATTTGTGTCTCCTTTAGAGAAATTAGGAAGCCAGCCTTTATTTATTTATTTCAACAACACAGATTCGTGTAGCCATTACCAAACATTTATCAAGCAATTATCATGTGAAAAGTACAGGCAATACAAAGACAAAAGTGAGATAGTCTCTAGTCTCAAGGAGTTGACACTCTATTGGAGAGCAGGAGAGACACAATATGTCTTTGGTTTTTTGTTTGTATTTTGCTAGGCAATGGGATTAAGTGACCTGCTCAGGGTCACACAGCTAGTAAGTGTCAAATGTCTGAGACTGGATTTGAACTCAGATCCTCCTGACTCCAGGGCCAGTGCTTTAACCACGGTGCCACCTAGCTGCTCCAAGAGACACAATATGAACACAAGGAAAAGCAAAGTAATTCTGGAGGGAGGGAAGGAGGGTGCTAACAACTGGGGGATTATGGTATGTCTAGTTTAAGACATGATACTTGTTACTGAGCCTTAAAAGAGGTTACAGACTACAAAAGGGCAAGGTTAGGAGGAAATATATTCCAGGCATGAAGGATAGCCTAAGATGAGGAAATGGAAGATAGAATATTGTGTATGGGGAAAAGAAGGTAGGCTGATCAGGCTGGAATGTTGAATTCATGAAGAAATCATATGCAATAAACCTGGAGAGGTGGGCTGGAATAGATTTTAAAATGCTAAACAAAAAAGTTTTAACTTTATCTTACAAATAATTGGGAACCACTGGAACTTCTGAAGCCATGGAGTGACAAGTTCAGAGATATTTTAGGAATCAAATATCAATTTGGCAGCTGTGTGGAAGATGTGTAGAGGGAGATAGACTTGAGGCAGGGATACCAACTAAGAAGACTACCGTAATAGTCCTGGTTGGACATGATTAAGACTTCATCTGCATTCCAGGCTCCACTCCTGACTCTCTGGACTTTTTCCATCATGCCATAGGAGCCTTCTCATTCTAGAAGCTCCCTATACCCATGCAGCCTCCTCACCTTAGAACATCTTGCTGCCCTTGCATCTGCCTTCTCCCAGGAACCTCCCAGGGTTGAGGAAAGGGCCTAGGCCAGCTATTCACTTCTTTCCTAGCTGTTTCTGGCTCTCCAGATTTCTCCACCATGCCCTATATTAGTGCCTTGCCCCTTCCCCCTCTTTCCAGCTCTGTTTTATAAGTTGTTTCCCCTTAGAAAGTAAGTTCCTGAAGGGCAGGGGCTATACTTTTATTTGAATTTGTATTCCAAGCACTTAGCAGTGTCAGACACATAGTAAGTGCTTAATTAAATGTTTCTGGAATTGAAGCAGGGTGTGGTCACATGGGAGGAGAGAAGGGGATTGATGTAACAGATGTGACGGAGGTAAAATTGATTTGGGAACTAAATGTATATGGGGTTTGAAGGAGGAAGAAGAATTGAGGATGATGCAAAGGTTTCAAACCTTAGTGACTAGCGCGGTACTTTACATAGAAATGGGGCACTTTAGAAGACTTATTTTAGACACGTTGAATTCAATATGCCTACAAGACATAGGCAGTTGCTCTAGGACAGTTATTTATTGTCCTAGTTATATGTAAGACTGTTATGGCTTTAGAACAGTTTTATAGAGAGTCAACTGCTTATTTCTTTGAGATAAGCAATCATTTATGACTAGTGTATAGTAAATAATTTTATTATATGCTAATACAGACTGTGTAGTTTGTTGGGAGAATATATCATGAGGTTCAAGAACTTTGACACCTGTTTATTTATTTACATGCATGAGGCAGTTTTAAAGTCAGGTAAAAATACTGTTTTAAGCCTCCATTAAGTATGGGTGGGAAATGAAGAACATTTAAAGACTTGTGATTAAACCCCCCTCCCCAATTCACCAAAAAAGACCCAAACCCTCAAGCTAAGTGATAGTTCTAACAAAAAGATTTTCTGTTGAGAAACTTAAAAATGCCCTATCCATTCCAAACACCACTAGTAAAATAAAAAATTAAACCCACATTTATGTAATTTGCATTGATGTAGTCATCATTATCCTTTAAAATGACCCGTGTAGCATCATCTGAAAAAAAGAGTATCAAAACAATGTTATTTGGCAACCATAAACCAGAAAGACCAAATTATTAACACATTAATTTAAAAATATACTCACAAGGTGAAATGTCTCTGTATCTATTTTTGGAAATATTTTGAGGTAATTTGGCACAAGACATTGTCATTCCAGGCTTTTTCCTATAGAGTTGCTATAAAAGAATAAGTCAGACAGTTCTGGTTACACTACTGGATCCATGTTAAGCACACAGACAACGTCTATAAACGCACATAAGTAACTTCAAGACCATCACTACAACAAGAAGCAATTAACTCAATTATTTTTTTATACAATCCATGTGAAAATCTGTGATACTCTTCTTGGTAACTTACTGAAGATACTACTAACAAAATGAAGAATTTCAGCTATTTGTTCTTTGTCATAAAATTGTTGCACTACATTTGGAGTTGGCTCTGCCACTCAGTAAATGAAACACTTAGGTATTTCTTTTTGTTTTCCTAATCCTAATTTGCCAACTTTATATTTTGTAAAAGTATCTGGATCAATAACCTTACAGGGATGTAGGGACTAAAGTGCTTTGTAAACTATAAAGTACTATATAAATGTGAGTATTGTTACTACACAAAAAAGAGAAAACTTCAACTTAGGAGTGAAAGTGAATATTAAAAAAAATCCTAAAAACCCACTGGAAAACAAATTTACCTATCAAATTGGCAAACATGATAAAATGTGTAAAAGTTCAATATTGGTGGGGCTCTGGGGGAAAGAAGGCAAGCTAATTACTCTTTAGGGATCTGTGAAATGGCCCAACTTCTTTGGAAAAAAAAATGCAATTTTACAAGTTAAAAGACTTGACTTATTAATCTCATTAGAGAGTAAGAAAATAATATTCACAGTTGTACTAATCATAGCAGTAAAAAAAAGTGAGAAATGAATTATGTGCCCAATTATTAGAGATGGGTCAAATAAATTATAGTATATGGATGTAATGGAAATATAATTATGCCATCAAGAACAGGAAAAATTGGAAGAAGTATGGGAAGACATATACAATAATAATTATAGTAACTGACAATCATGTAGAATTTGAAAATTTCCAAAGAATTTTAAATATGTTCTAATTTGAGCCTCACAACAGCTCAGAGAGGTAGTTTCTATAGGCATTATATGATTTTAGAGATGAAGAATCTAAGACTCGGAGGAGAAGTAACTTGTTCATGGTTACAAAAGTACCAGAGATTGGATCTGAACCTAGGTTTTCCTAAGTCTAGAAGTATAGCCTCTATGTTATGCTGCCTCTCTACTGATGCAAAATGAAGAAAGCAGATTCAAAAGAAAAATATGCACCAACTACAGATACATAAATGAAGTTAACATTAAACAACAATAAGAAGTCACAGGTGACCATGGATGATGTTGGGACTACCTTATTAAAATTAAAGTACAGCTCTTCTTTAAAAAAAAAACAAACACAACAACAACAAAAGGATAAACTACGAAAGTATATGGTACTGTGTATTATCAATTATGATCACTCTGCTCAGTTTTTGAGGAAATACATCTGTTTTGGTTTTGTTTGTATGTTTATGTTTGTGCAATATTAAAACATTTATCAACTGAAAAAGAAGAAAACAATAAAAAAAGGTATACTAATTAGGTAAAATTTTAATCTCTTAAATTTGACTTATTTTAATTTCTGAGGTGTGTTTTTGTCATTAGGGCTGATTTCTAAGCTAACAGGACATAAACTTTTCCCTTTAAACAGTCATATGTTTATTGCTTTATTTCTCATTTAAATTCTTCAACAACTGTCCACTAGTTACTGCCAGCTGTTGAAATAGGACTTGATTTGCAAATATTGAGCTCTATTCTTGTTTCTTGTATGGATTATAGTTTAATCTTAAAATAGTTCACTTAAAACTCTTTTTGGTTTGCCTTTTTTATTTTTGAAAGGGATAAACACGTCACATAGTATGTTTCAGTTGAAGCTAAGTAGCTGACTTTGTTTCGGTTACATTTTTACTTGGGAAAAGTGATTCTTTAAAAAAACACCCCTATAACTTCGGGTGTGCAAAATTTATCAAGATCAATTTAAAATGCATAAAAATACATTCACTGTTCTCAATGTTGAGATAGTGGTTCCTTAGAGACTTTGTTGGCAAATTAATAGTTCATGGATATTAAAGTCAATTATTCAAAAACAATGGAATTAAGAATGGAAAACTACTGAAGATTTTATGAAATGAAAGGCAAAATCTTTTCTAAAAAAATAAAGTACCTTGTTACTTACATCAAACTGTGTAAGGACTGTTCCACTGTCAAGACCCTCAGCAAGCTGGATCATCGATTCCCTCAACGCATTATCATTTTGATGGACACCATCTAGTGGTGATTTCTCAGGGATATACTGGAAGTCTGGTTCATTCTCAAATTTTTCTTCTACTACGTCATAAACAGCTGTAAAGGAACATGGAAATTATTAGTGTCTTTCTTTCACTTGTTGGACATGTTCCTTGGACAAACAGATTAAAGAAAGATTAATTTAAGAAGAAATATATAAAATTTGGCATCTGTTACCAGTACAGGAGAAATGCTTCCATTATGCTAAGTAAAACCCTTATATCTGTGGCACAAGATCATTTATTAAGAATTAAAGTCTACTCTAATACAAAGTATTTCAAAGGGGTGAAGATTTGGAATTTCTTTAGCCTGTGCTGGCTGAAGAACAATTGATTGGCAATTTGCATTTTGTACAAATTTGAGGAGGAACTTCTGATAGGAGGGCAGGGTTTGAGCACAGATGGTATTCTGACAGCTAATAACTCAGTAGCAACAGCTACTCTAAAGTTGTAGACAGGCTGCTTTTTGAAAAGGTGTCAAGGCTCTTCACCCACAAATTCTTGTGCTTAAGCGCAAACAAAAGACCACAGCAACCTCTTCTGAAATAGCTGCCCTGCTCCCAAATGGAGAGGAATGAAGATATTAGGATTCTGACAGACTTTGAGGACCAGAAGAAAGTAAGCTTATTACCAGACTGTGACAAAATTAGAGGAAACAGATAGGGTCTGGACCTGTGATTTCACTGATACCCTATGATTCCCTATGAGGAAATTCCCTCTGGCAATGCAGGTAGAACCTTCTCTGGAATTTATAATCTTAGAAAGTTGCCTATAACACTGATGGGTTATAAGTGATTTGCCCAGAGTCATTAAGTCAATGTTATATCAGAGGTGGGATTTGAACCCGGTGTTTCCTGGTCCTAATGTTAGTTCTGTATCCACTATGGTATGATGACTGTAACACTTAACCAAACACAACATTTAGTTACAGAGCAGAATTTTCCAACTAGAACCAAAGCTAGTCACTGAGACTATACAAAACTAGCACCATAGAGAAGAATATACAAACCACAGAGCACAGGGACAGGAGAAGGAAGAAGAGTTAACACTGCTGTATCTTAAAAGACAAGAGAAATGTTCAATCTGATAGCTGGAAAATCTTTTTGTATACAACCTGAAAGTGCTAAAAAACTCAAGCTCTGCTGAAAAGGCCCTAATCTTGTCTAGGTTCCAACCGTTCTCAGATTTAAATGAAGCCTATTGAGGACAAAAATAACAACCAACCTTTGCTCAATATGCCCCGGACTCTTTTTAAAAAAAGTTCTCTCTTATTTTTACATCACCTCTTTTGTCTTTTATTGCTTGTTTAGTCACTTAGGCAGAACAGCAGACCAGGAGAGAGGAAGACACCTGGATTATTGGACTAATTCTATTTAGTGAATTGCTATGAGGGAAACTGAGAAATCTAGTTCCAGATCTTTATTCTTTAGTTCCCTGTCTCACTAATTTCAGATGATTAAGGATAATATTGACCAAATATTTTGTAATAGCATCTTCAGAAGCATCAGCAGCATGAATAAGGGTAAGTGGTTGACAGTAAGTATGGTATAATGGGAAGAATATTGAATTTGAAGTCAAAGCATTTGTATTTGAAACCCAGCTAGCCTACTTACTACTTACCTATATAATCTTGACAAATCATTTTTTTTTTTTGGTAGTGAGGCAATTGGGGTTAAATGACTTGCCCAGAGTCACAGAGCTAGTAAGTGTTATGTGTCTGAGGCCAGATTTGAACTCAGGTCCTCCTGATTTCAAGGCTGCTGCTCTATCCACTGTGCCACTTAGCTGCCCCAAAAGGTGTCTTTCAAATTTTTATTTATTTATTTTTTTAGGCAATTGGGGTTAAGTGACTTGCCTAGGGTCACACAGCTAGTAAGTGTTAAGTGTTTGGTCTGAAGCCAGATTTGAACTCAGGTCCTCCTGATTTCAGGGCTGCTGCTCTATCCACTGCACCATCTAGCTGCCCCCTTCACAAATCATTTAAGCTCTTTTTAAACCAAATAAAGAGGTTGGATTAGATACTGTTAAAGTTCAGTCTGGTTTCAAATGCTGCAGACTTAAAAAGTACATATATAAAGAGTCCATGTGTTTTATGAATCTTAATCTTCCTACATTGGGATTAGAGGAAAAGTATGATTTTAACAGTTGTAAGCATTATGTCCTAAAATCATGAAAGCATGGATAATTCAGGTGTGTAATTATAGTGATTTGCCACATATACATAAAGTATGAGTAACTAGGCTTGAGACATTAGTTACTATTTAAAGATTAATACTGAACTAACTGCTGCATATGTCCCAGTGTATACAACCTATTCTTCCTGTATGTCTCCACTATAGCAGAAGAAAGAAAACTGCCAATTCCCAGAACACATAAGTCAAAATTCCTTTTTGCCTTCATAGTCCTTTGAATACTAGAAAAGTGACTCTCTGAACTAGCAGGTGTTATCCTTGACTTGTCCCTCTCTCTGACCCTCTTTCTCCTCCATACGTTGCCAAGTCCTGTTGATTTGTAACATCTTCCCTCTGACACTGCCACCACCCTGGCGCAGGTTCTTATTATCTCATGCCTGGAAACTGCAAAAGCCTGCTGGTGGGTCTCCCTGTCTCAAATCTTTTTCCACTCCAGTCCATCCTCTATTCAGCTGGCAAACTAATCTTCCTGCAGTGCAGATCTGACCATACTACACTTCTATCTGATAAACTCCAGTGCCTCCCTGACACCTCCAGGATCAAATATGTAATCCTGTTTGGAATTCTAAGCTCTTCACAATCTGATCCTCTCCTACCTTTCCAATCTTCTTACATCTCACTCCCCTTCCTGTACTCTGATCCAGTAACACTGGACCTCTTTCTGTTCCTCATGTAAGACACTATCTCCAGCCGCCAGGAATTTTTACCGGCTGCTGCCCATGCCTGGAATATTCTCTCTTCCGAATCTCTGTCTCCTGTCTTCCCTGTCTTCCTTCAAGACCTAGCTAAAATCTCACCATTCTACAAGAAGCCTTTCTCTCTTTTAATGTTAGTGCCTTCCCTCAATTAATTTTCAATTTATCTTTTATATAGTTTGTCTGCACACAGTTGTTCTTCATGTTGCCTCTCCCATTAGACTGTGAACTGCTTAAGAGTAGCGACTTGTCTTTTCTTTTACTTTGTATGCTCTGCTTAGAACAGTGCCTGGCACATAGCAAGCACTTAATAAATGCTTATTGACTAGCTGATCATCCATCTACTCTACTGCTGTCCCCCTGGCACCCAGAGCTTTGCTATGGCCCTTCCTCATGTGACTGCCAGTCTTTGCAATCCACACACTGAGACCTAAGGATCTCTGTGCCATGCTATCGACCCTGTGGTTGCCTCTTTGTCTAGGTGATGTTTCCCTTATAAGAATGTAGGTGCCCTGAATGCAGAAATTGTCTCACTGCCATTTGTATCCCTAGCTACTGGAAAAAATAAGCACTTAATAAATGTCTGTCTCTCTTCTTCCTTCCCCTCCTTGCCACTTCATTCAAGTAAAAACAACAGGAAAATGACTGATATTTTATTTTAAAGCAACAGGACAGGTGAAGAGGAATGCAGGACTCAGACAGCATTATCTATTAAGAGGACACATTCATGTGAGGAAATCTAGGCATCTTACTTCTAAGAAAATAAGCATGGTGGAAAACATTTGGGTAAATATCAATGGAAGGAGAAATAAAAGTGATAATCAGTCACCTGGATGAAAGAGGAAAGAGATGAGTTTGGTGAATAGCTAGAGCACAAGCCTTGCATAGAGGCCGATGTAATAATTATGAAGTATTTTAATTTTTCAATTATCTAATTAAAATTCTCTTTCAAAGAAGAGAAGCTAATAATTTCTTGACTTGCTTTAATGATAATTTCATCTTTCAAAAAGGTAAAGGATCTGATAAGAAGAATTCTATTCTAGATGTAATTCTCAATCAATAGAAAATAACTATCTGCTGGGGTGGAAAAAAAGGATGAGATTGCTGGGGAAAAGTGACTGTTTGAACCAGGAGAGTAATTTATGCAATAATAACATCATTATAAATACAATTTTCAAAGTCTTAAGAATCCTAACAATACAAGACCAATAACAACTTCAAATGAAGCATGCTATCTACTTCCCAAAAGAAGAGTGATGGATTCAAGTACCACAAGAAGATCTATATTTTTGGACAAAGTAAGTATGGGAATTTGTTTTGCTTGACCAAATGTATTTTTAAAAAAATTTTATTCTAAATTTAGCAAATGAAATAAAATGGGCATTTCCATGTACATAGAACAGAAAAAGACTATACACAAAACTATAGAGGTCTATTATGTATAGTTTGTTTAAAAAATATATAATAAATTCAACATGTAATTTTCCAAAGTGTTCTGCTTGTCTGTGCTTCTTTCTGGCCTTCCTTCTATTCTCATCTCTGCATTAAAAAAATTCCTTAAAGATACTAACTTCTTTCTTCTCTATGCCACCCTTCCCCAACTACAAACCTCTCCCCTCTAGTGGGGAAGAAAAAGGGACAACCAAGTCCTAGAAACAAATATACTATGTATATTTGTTACAAAGATTTTGTTTTTTTCTCAGTTTAGGGAAAGTTTTTCTCAATTTAGGAGTAGGGAGGGAAAAGGGAGCTGGAGATAAGACTGTCATTCCCCCACCCTGCCTCCCCCCCAAAAAAAAGAAAAAAAAAAGAGGATCATTGAAACTTTTTTTTTTAAATTGACAAAAGAGAAGGAATGTCAAGAGGAATCATAGATATAAGCAGGGCAGCTTTGAAAGTAACGTGTTGAATTTATTATATACTTTATATAAAAGAAAAGCAAGCTATTCATAGTAGAGCAGGGGTACTTAACATTTTCCGTGTCATGGACCCTTTGACAGCCTGGTAAAGCCTAATTACTATTGAGGTTTGTTGTCTACATTAAGGAAATGCTAAATTTCCATTAGAGGTTAGTGAAAGTAAAGATGTAACTTTTTTCCCATCTGAGTTCACGGACCCCCTTAAAATCTATCTAATGATCTGTCCCTGTTATTGAGATTTTTGGTTTCATTACAACCTCTTTTTTTTTTTTGTTCTACTGTGCATATGAAGTACTCATTTTATTTTTTAAATTTATTTTAAAATTTTTACCACAATTTATTTTTAAACATTCACTTCCACAAGATTTTGAGTTCCAAAATTTCTCCTCATCCCTCCCCACCCTGTGATGGCCTGCATTCTGATTCCCCCTTCACTCAATCTGCTTCCTCTCTATTCCCACCTCCACCGTATCCCCATTCCCTTCTATTTCCCTGTAGGTAAGATAGATTTCTACACCCCTTTGCCTGTGTATCTTATTTCCAGTTGCATGCAGAAACAATTTCTAACATTCGTTTCTAAAACTCTGACTTTCAAATTCTCTCCCTTCCTCCCTCCCCACCCACCCTCATTGAGAAGGCAAGCAATTCGACATAGGCCATACTTGTGTAGTCATGTAAAACCCTTCACAACAGTCATGTTGTGAAAGACTAACTATATTTCCCTTCATCCTATCCCAGTCCCCATTTATTCTCTTCCCTCCTTTGTCCCTGTTCCTCTTCAAAAGTGTTTACTTCTGATTACTCCTTCCCCCAATCTGTCCTCCCATCTATTACCCCTCCCTCTCTTATCCCCTTCCCTCTAATTTCCTGTAGGATAAGACAGATTTACATACCCAATTGGGTGTGTATGTTATTCATTCCCTAAGCCAAATCTGATGAGAGTACAGTTCACTCATCCCTTCTCACCTCCCCCCTCTTCTCCTCTACTGTAAAAGCTTTTTCTTGCCTCTTTTTTGTGAGATAATTTACCCCATACTACCTCTCCTTTTCTCCTTCTCTGAGCACAATCCTCTCTCACCCCTTAATTTTCTTTTTTAGATATCATCCCTTCATATTCAACTTACCCTGTGCACTCTGTCTATCTATATTCTGTCCAACTACCCCAATAATGAGAAAGGTCTCATGAGTTACAAATATCATCTTTCCATGCAGAAATGTAAACAGTTCAACTTTAATAAGTCCCTTATGATTTCTCTTTCCTGTTTACCTTTTCATGCTTCTCTTGAGTCTTGCATCTGAAAGTCAAATTTTCTATTTAGCTCTGGCTTCTGAAGAATGCATTAAATTCCTCTACATCATTAAATATCAATTTTTTCCCCTCATTGATTACACTGTTTTGCTGGGCAGGTGATTCTTGGTTTTAATCCTACCTCCTTTGACCTCCAGAATATCATATTCTATATAAACCCTCTGATTCCTTAATGTAGAAGCTGCTAAATCTTGTGTTATCTTGATTGTGTTTCCACAGTACTTGAATTGTTTCTTTCTGGCTGCTTGCAATATTTTCTCCTTGACCTGGGAACTCTGGAGTTTGGCTACAATATTCCTGGGAGTTTTCCTTTGGGGATCTCTTTCAGGAGGTGATCAGTGAATTCTTTCCATTTTTATTTTACCCTCTGGTTCAAGAATATCAGGGCAGTTTTCCTTGATAATTTCTTGAAAGATGATGTCTAGGCTCTTTTTTTGATCATGGCCAATAATCTCTTCTGGATCTATTTTCCAGGTCAGTTGTTCTTCCAATGAGATATTTCACATTGTCTTCCATTTTTTCATTCTTTTTTTTTTAATAGTTTCTTGATTTCTCATAAAGTCATTAGCTTCCATTTGCTCCACTTTAATTTTTAAAGAATTCTTTTCCTCAGTAAGCTTTTGGACCTCCTTTTCTATTTGGCCAATTCTGCTTTTTAAGGCATTCTTCTCCTCATTGGCTTTTTGGACCTCTTTTGCCATTTGGGTTGCCCTATTTTTTAAGGTGTTATTTTCTTCATTATTTTTTTGGGTCTCCTTTAGCAAATTGCTGACTCATTTTTCAAGATTTTCTTGCATCACTTTCAGTTTTTCCTCTACTTCTCTTACTTGATTTTCAAAGTCCTTTTCAAGCTCTTCCATGGCCTGAGACCAATTCACATTTTTCTTGGGGGCTCTGGATGTAGGGGCTTTGATTTTGTTGTCTTCTTCTGGTTGTATGTTTTGATCTTCTTTGCCACCAAAGTAAGATTCTATAGTCTGAATTTTTTTCCCTCTGTTTGCTCATCTTCCCAGCCAGTTCCTTGACTTTTTAATTCTTTGTTAAGGTAGGCTCTGCTTCCAATGTGGAGGGTGTACTGTCCCAAGCTTCAGGGGTTTTGTACAGCTGTTTTCAGAGACACTTCTAGGGACCTGTAAGTTTTCAGTTCTTCCAAGGTGGTACAATCTAAGGAGAGGTGTTTATTCTTCTCCTGGCCTGTGCTCTGGTCTATGAGTGACCACAAGCACTCTTTTCTGCCCTGGAAATGAGAGGAGGGGCTCTGCACAGCTGCCAGAAACTCTGCCACACCAGCACTCCTCCTTGTCCCTGGACCACCACCCAGGACTGGACCCAGATCCAAGCACAGGCAAAGCAAGAGAACACTGCCTCAGAGCCAGCAAAGAGATCCCTGCAATCCCCACTTCTGATCAGACACCTAATCCCCCTATCGTCTGTGGGCCAAAAGCTCTGGAAGCAACTACAGCTATGGCTACTGCTCCGGGGCTGCATTAGAGCCAGGGCTGGACCATGTTCTTCTCTCACCCAGGTCTGACAGACCTTTTCCACTGACCTTTCTAAGTTGCCTTTGGCATTTGTGGGTTTAGAAGTCTGGAAACCGCCACAGCTCCCCTTGATTCAGTCCCCCTGAGGCCTGCTCCAGGTTTGCTGAGGCCCAGTCTTTGCCTGTGCAGCCCACACTGAACTATGCTCTTCTCCTATCCCAGTGCAACAGACCTGTCCCGTGGACCATCCAGGCTGTCTTGGGCTGGAAATTTGTTTTACTCTGTCTTTTTGTGGGTTCTGCTGCTCTAGAATTTGTTTAGAGTCATTTTCTACAAGTATTAGGGAGGGGGGGTTTGGGGGAGAGCTCAAGCGAGTGCCTGCTTTCTGAAGTGCTCATTTTAGAGTTGAAATTTATTAAACTAGTAATAAACTTTAAAAAAATCACTGTAGAGTATATGAAAGAAAAGGAGAAGAAAAGTGGGAATGGTTCAACATGCCCACTAGATTTTGCAGGAACATATTTCAAAGATTTCAGATGAAGTATAGGATGCCACAGACTAAAATTCTATAAGGAGAAATAGGCCCAGGAGTGATGGAAAACTCCAAAAGAATAATATTTTAAAAATAAGCTTTATTAATGCTTTTCATTTTTATATTAATCTTCTCTAGACATATTTGAAAAATAAAACTCCCTTGTAACAGACAAAAACAATTCAGGAACCATGTCTGACAATGTATGTAAATAAAAGAATGAATTTTCGTTGGATTTTTTTCTTGTTTTATTATGAACTTAAACAAAAAAGGAAGAAATTTTTAGGAGGTAAACCACTGTGGCAAAAGACTTTTCTTTCTTTTTTTGCTAGGCAATGGGGTTAAGTGACTTGCCCAGGGTCACACAGCTAGTAAGTATTATGTGTCTGAGGCCGGATTTGAACTCAGGTTCTCCTGACTCCAGGGTTGATGCTCTATCCACTGTGCCATCTAGCTGCCCTGATAAAAGACTTTAAAGCTTAGTTCCTATATTAGCTGGGATCATAAATCTTAAGCGCATACCAAGATATACTATAGTGCCTAAGCAGATTTTACAAATAAACTTAGTGTAGGGCAAAAAAAAGAAAGGCTGCAAAGAGAGGGGTGGTTTTTGCTTGTTCGGTTTGGTTTGGTTTTTGTTTGTTCAAAACTCTGTTTTAAAGTATCTAACCAACTTACTCTACTGTAGACCTTCAGAAATGGCATGTATTAAGCTTGCTCCAGCAGAAGAAATGAGAAAATGCATCTCCTTTCTTTTTTTGCATAGAAGAGGAACTAAAGGTTTGGATGTGGCATATACTGTCAGATATAGCTGAGAGGCTGATTGAGTTTGCTGAACTGATTTCTTCTTTTCTCTTTTTTTAAGGAATCAATCACCGAGCAAAGGAAGGGGAAGGATACATTTGCAGAGAAAGGTGATATAAATATAAAAGTTATCAACAAATAGTGAGATTTAGAGGAAAGAAATGATAGGTTTTGGTCCCAAAGCATTAAAATTAATAAAAGGATCATTTCAAATTATAACCTGGCTGACCGGTACAGGGCAGCAAGAGATTACAGGTATTGTATCAAGCTTTCTATTACCTCTTGACCTGATCCAGGAGTCACTGGTCAGATGACACTCTGGAGAAGACAAACGGGCAAAGTTGGGGTAAGGTGATAGGTGAAGAGAATCTTTCATTTTACATTTTTACATGCCATTATGTTGCTAAAATGGTAGAGAAGCTGGAGTAACAATGGTCCATTGAGGGAAAGGGAAATCTGGACCTGTGACTTCAGTGGTTTAAAGGAATTCTTGGAAACTTTCTCCACTGATGAAAATAGGTAACTCTTTTGCAACTTACAGACCGAGAGAACCTACAGCCTTTGAGAGCTGCCTGGGGCAGTAAGAGGTAACTTCAGTTATAGAACCAGTCTATGTCAGAGGCAGGACTTAAACTAGGGTCTTCTGGACCACAAGGCCATCTTGCGATTCATTATGCCATGCTGCCTCTCTAGTTACATACAGGAATGAGGTGCCTTGAGACACGAATTTTGTACAAAGATAAAAAGCTGGGTTTTAAAAATCGATTATTCTACTTTAGTAATGCCTTTAACATCGACTCTTTCTGAAACTTTTTATAATGCCAATTATCTTGATAAATTTGCATGTTTAGAAGGTTAAAGAATAAGACACAATTAGAAATCTGTTCAAAATCTTCTATGACATTTAAAAAAATTCCCACAATAATAATAATAATATCTTGTCAAAGAATTTTCCAGAATGTGGATCAAGGTTCAGCAAAATATATAGAGCTAAGAGGAAGGGAAGAAAAAAGGTCACTCACCATTGGGTCGAACTAGGAGCACAAGTTCCCCTGAGTGTCTCTCACAGCTAGCTTTAATAAACATGACAACTTGATCATGGGTATGTTCTGCGATGTCCCTGCCATTAATTAGTACAACTTGATCCCCTTCATTCAATCGAGGGACACAGAGGTCAGCCTAAAATATGATGCAAATAAGATTTCAGATTCTCAATTCTTTCTTAGATCAAAGAATTACATTTTATTTTTTGATGGCAACATATCAGAAAAACATTGGATTCAGAAATCCAAATTCTAACTACAAACTAATCTAAATGCATCTTGTATTCAAGTGAAAACTAGAGCTTCATCCTCCCTTGACTTCAAACCAGAGGATATTTGTTCTCTAGTCATGGCAGGGACTAAAGCTGCTTAGATGGTCCTTCTGGATTTTGTGCTACCTCTCTAGATTATGCAGAGAATTACTGACCAGAAACTATTTACATGTAGCAGTCAGCTGATACAGTTCTGTATATATCTTTGTTAAAATTTAGGTGATTTTGTCTCTATTCAGAAAAAAGCTAGGAGACATATACCTTCCATATAATTTGAAAAACGATAACACTTCAGGGGTATATGTGATGAGTCTTCACAGTCCCTTTAATAGACTATGAAGAACTTTCCCCAAGTCTGTTCCTCCTGGAGGACTGCATTCATAAAAAGTAGAATTAAAAACTAATCAGATATGTCAAGCAAAGATTTTCTCTTTACCATTGGAGGTAACTCTTTCATACTTAAAAGATCCTGTGGGTAAGGGGGAATGAGCCACAGGGCCTTCCTCCTTTTTGAGGACATGTAACACCCCCTAAGTATGTGGCCTTTTGTTGTTGTACTTTTCCATTCTAGGTGAAAGGAGTGGAGTCTCAGACATCAGGAGTTTCAAAAGGTTGGAAGAAAGAGCCACAGAAATCCAGGAACTGGAAGCCAGGGTGGGTTTTGCAGCCAGCACAGTACTGACCCCTAATGTACAATGGGAACCTTTGGGAGTAATCTTCAGGACCCCAAACCTGTAGAAGGACTCATCTAACAGTGATGCTGATGTTGGACTGGAACTTGGTGGTATCTATTTTATGTAGAAACTTTGCTAAATTCTGAGTCCTCCAGACACAGAAGTGGTATAGGGAAAAGTATGCTTTCAAGGTATTGGGGAAAATGTTTTTATGGTTTTTTCTTACTATATCTTTGAAGTAAATATTTCTTTGTAAAAGTCCTTTCTACCTCTCCTCCAAAAAAAAGAGCATTATATGTTTTATGAGCAAAGACTGAGTATACCATTTCCTCAGTAGTCTTTCAACAGTAACCAGGATAATGTCGTGAGCTAACACTCAATACATGATGAAAATATTCATAACAAAATTAAAAAGACAGTGTTTCTGTTCAGCCTTGCACTAATTATATTTGTGGATTACTGTGTTCACTCCAGCACAACATTTATCTAGTATAAAATATGTACTAAAGCTAGTACAAAAGATATGAGCTCATACAAAAAATATGCAAAACTAGGTCATATTCTCTACTAATCAACTATCAAAATATGGTTCCTAATTTGAAGACACTAATAGTAGTTACTCAACTTAAGAAATAGCAGAGAACCATGAGTGATGAATGATTAATTTTGTTTTGACAGTATAAGTTCCAGCAACATTTTATAGATTACGCAGATTTTGTTAAAAAAAAAAGACTTTTGTGAATTTAAATAGTTTTAAAATAAGCTTACTTCATATCTAACGATTTCTTTGAGAACATCTGTCTCATAATTCAAAATAAAACCTTGCCATTTAATCATACTTTTGAGATTTTAAATGAATAGTACAGCTACAAATAGCTACAATATCCTCTAATATGTTATAATAATGGAGCTTGATTTAATCAACTATTATAATGGACCGTCCAGAGTACTTATTTTTGATGTCATCTTAGGAGCACTTAATTACATTAAATTTGGTGCTACCTTATGTGCTGTTTTGTATACCTATTCTGTTTCAAGTAATTAAATCCTAGAAACTCCTTGTAAGTAGAAAACTATATCATACATTTCCTTTGTATTAATCACCAAACCTACAGTTAGTGCTAGGCACAGAGAAAACATTCAAGAAATAACAAGATGAATTTACTGAAATGATTAAAAGCACAGAGTAACTAAATACAATTAGGTCTTCGTCATTTGCACTAAGGCAAATGACTGGTAGCACAAATAATCCTCAAATATAATTTGTATATGGCTTTTAAAAGTGCTTTTCTACTTTAAATGGAAAACATACATATGTTTCAGAAAGCTATAACACTTCAACACTAAGTAACCAAAGCCACACCATAGTGAAGATCTGACATATGAAGTATCCATCTGAGAAGTGGCTCTGTTTCTGGCATTGCATAGTAACTTCCTCCTGTGATACTTACTTAACGCTACAAACAGCTAATTCATGTCTCAGCCTATTACACACACTGGCACTATCCTAAAGCAACTGAGCTCCTCTCCATCAGGCTGTTGCTTGGTCACATTCTCTTTCCTATATTAAGCTGTTAACTAGCACTGAAATCTTTTAATTTAAAAAGTTTATTGGGAAGGAATGAAGAAAAATCCTGTTTATGGTGGAAGAAAGTAATTAAGTATATAAGGGATACATAAGAAACTTAGAAAGGCAGGCAGGGATCAGGTTTTGAAGAGCTTTACAGGCCAGATAGAAGAGTTGATATTTGTAGAGGTAAAGGAGCCAACCACTGGAGCCTATGGAGTCACAGCTGTATTTCTGGAAAAATTACTATGGCATTAGAGCAGAAGGCAGATTGATGTGGGAAGAAATTTGAGGCAGGGAGATGAAAAAGGAAACAATTCCAACAGTCTTGAGTGAGAGGTGATGAGGACCTAAACTAAAGTAGTCGTGTGAGAGGAGAGGAGAGAAGGGGATTTTTGGGAGAGATCTTCTGTAAATAACAACAATAATAATTTATAAAGCTAATATTTATATAGTGCCTACTTATGTGCCAGGCACTGCATTATATGCTTTACAAAAATTATCTCATTTAATTCTCATTACAACTCTGCCTGATAGGTGCTGTTAATACCTCCATTTTATAGATGAGCAAACTGAGGCAAACAGAAGCTAGATGAGTTGCTCAGGAACACACAACAAATCAAATGTTTGAGATCATATTTGAACTCAGATCTTCCTGACTCCAGGTCAGACACTCTATACACCGTGCCACCTAGCTGCATATAGCAACAGAAAAAATAAAATTTGGCAAATGATTTCTTATATGGGGTGTAGGATGACACTGAGCTTGTAAATCTTGATGAGTAAGAAAATGGTGGTGTCCTCAATAGTTATAGGGAAGTTTGAAATAGGGGTAGGTTTTGGGGAAAAGGTAGTAAGTTCTGTTTTGCATATGCTGGTTTGGGGATATCTATGGGACATGCAGTTCTAAATGTCGAAAAGGCAGTTGGTGATAGGCTGATGTTCAGGAGAGAGACATTTGCACACAGATGAGAGCTGAAGAGCTTACCATGTCACAATGTGTGAGAAAAAACAAGGGGGCCCAACACAATCTTGGCCCATGCTTAGTGGGCACAATACACATGATGATCTATGGAGGCAAGAGTGCTCAGAGAGGTAAGAGGAAAAGAAGGACAGAACAATGTCATGAAACCTGAGAGTGGCTAATGGTATCAAGTGCTGCCAGAGAGGACTGAGAAGAGTACATTAAATTAGCAAAACAGCAAATCGAACATCCTCTTTAAAATTTTCAAATATTGTTTTATAAATTTTATTTTTTTTTGCTCTGAGCCTCTGATAACCTGTGGTCCCTCTGCCCCCATTGAACCTTTTTTAAAAAAAATGCACAGAAGAGAACAAAAGGAAGGAATCATAATCAGGATAAGTTTTTTTAAAATGAATTTATTCTGATTTATCAACAATCACTTCCATAAGCTTTTGAGTTTTAAATTTTTCTCCCCCTTCCACTCCATCTCTCTTTCCAAGATGGCACACAATTTGATACAGGCTATACATTAGGATAAGTATGGGTTTTTTTTAGGATAAATTTTAAGAGCAGTGTATGGTATGTATTTTTTTCTAAGTGATACAAAATGAACTATCACTTAATTTCACATACAATCCTTTTCTGTCTTTGGCTGTATATGAAATTTATAAAATAAAACAAAAAATTTTAAAAAGAGGATGCTAGATTTGCCAATTAAGAGAATATTAATAAGTTTGGAGAGAGCTGTTTCAGATGAATGGTGAGGTGTAGGAGCCAGGCTGCAGTGATTATGGGGATAAATAAGAGAGGAAGCGGAGGCACTGAATATAGATGCTTTTTCAAAATCTGGTTGAGAAAGGCAGAAACAGCAGGATCTAGTGAGGATTTTTTAAAAAAGATAACACATGGGTGTGTTTACGGGGAGCCCGAAAGGAACAAATGGTTAAGTAGAGACTGAAGATTAGAAAGAGAGAGAGGGGATGATACTGAGGGCAATCTGCTGGAAGAGATGGGTTCAGTGGTACATGCAGAAGGATTGGCCTTAACAAGGGTTCTGCCTTTATCAGAAACTAGAATAAAGAAGAATAGGTAACAATGTAAACAGGCATTTGAAAAGACGACCTGGTGAATATAAACTGTAATAAGGATAATCTGTCTTCAGATAACCAAGAGTTAAATTTAAAGAGAAAATATTTCAATTTATTTTCACTCCCATTAAGTGATTTTTTAAAAAAGGTAAAATCATCTAATTGATAAGTGAAATGCTAATGAATTATTTTACATAAGAAATTCCAGTTTGCTTTCACTAAAACCTGGAGCTCAACAGAGCTGACTTACCTTTTGCTACTTCAAGGGTTTTAACAATAAAATGCCCACTTTGCCAAAGATGTGGCCAGAAAATAAGAGACAAAAATTCACTTGGATTTTATATAAACTCATCTCAAAGGAGAATTTAAGAATTTTTTTCAGTAACAGATTCAGTTAACATTTCCATTTTTTAATTGATGAAATTTAAAGGAGAAAAAATGGTTAATTTCCTTTACTAAAGAGCAGAGATAACCAGATAAAGAACATTCTTTTTAAATAACCCTTATGAAACTGAAAAATTTTAAAAACTTACTGGTGTTCCTGGAGCCACACGAGAAACTATCACAGGCATCTTCTGATCATATCCACCCTTAGAAAATGTAATAAAGTTAGTGTCAAATTCATGACAAAGAAAAATTTCTTAACCATAAAGAAAAGTTAATTCAATTACCTTTACATTGAATCCAAACCTTCCATTCTCATCAGGTTTCATTTTGATCAGGACAAGATTATCCTGAGGAATACCACCATTGGGCTAATTAAAAAAAGAAAAGAAAAAGCATGTAATTTTCTTTCAGTTTACAAGAAAAGTGACTAATTCTTCATATTCCTTTGACCCAGAGATTCTACTGTTCAATTAATTAATCATTAAGGAAATTTTCCTTTCTTTTTGGGGGAGTATGATGAGGGGGGATTGTTGTTTTCAAAAGACTCAATCTCCCTATCTTACCCAGGGTAGAAAGGGTTAGTTATGGGCCTGATCCCACTACTGCTCAGCATGGGAGCTTTGACCTACTCCACTTGTAACCTGGGCTGGTTGACCCCACCTTAGGCAACCTGGTATCCTCTGCTCCCAAAAGGCTCTGAAATTAATGCTAAAATTAGTACAGAGACCCACTCAATAGGCATGGCTCACTGTAGCTTAGAACTCTAGAGGTCAATCAGCAAGCTGGTCTCCTCCCTCGATAGGATTACCATTGATAGGTATGCCACCATATCCTGCTAATAGACAAGTATTTATTAAGAGCCTAACATGTGCCAGGCATTAAACTAGGCACCTCTCTTCCTTGGCTTCTGAAATAATACTCTCTTGATTTTCCTTCTACCTATTTCAACACTCCTTTTCTCAGGTTCTTATGCTGGATCATCATCACTATCCCACTTTGTCAGGATGGATGTCTCTGAAAGCTCTAACCCAAGCAGACTGCTCATATTTCCTCTCTTTATGGTCTTATCAAGTCCCACAAATTCAAATACACAAATGATTACTAAATCTATATATTTAATTCTAAGTTCTCTTAATAATTCCAGATCACCAACTGTCTACTATTCATCTCCAAAGGAGATATCACATATATTAAGATGCACATTTTAAATGTGGCAGAGCTCTCTATAATGGAACTCATTTTCTTCTCTGATAAAACCATATCTCCTCTAGATGTAAATGTTTCTGCTAATGATGTTGGTGTTCAGTCATTTCAGTTGTGCTCGACTCTTCATGACCTCATTTTGGGGTTTTCTTAGCAAAGATAATGGAATGGTTTGGCATTTCCTTCTCCATTCTGCTAAAGACCTCACCATATTTCTAGTCTTTCAGCTTTGCAACTTCATAGTCATCCATGACTCTTCTCTTCCTCATTTCTTCTACCCAATCAAGTGTCAAATCTTTTGATTTGTTATCCCCATCTTTCCCCTTTGTTCTCTTTCTTACACTCGGACAACCATCATCTCTCCAAGATCTATGACAATAACCTTTCATCTAGTCTCCTTGCTTACTGTCTCTCCTTTCCTCAATTCATTCTCCACATAGCTGCCAAAGGAATTTTCCTAAAACACAGGCACTGTACTGCCCTATTCAACAACGTTCAGTAGTTTCTTACTTGCCTAAGAGAAAATAAAAACTCTTCAGCATAGCATTTAAAGTCCTTCACAATATAGTTCCAGCCTAGATCTCTAAATTTACTTCATATTCTTTTTCACCAACATAACAGCCTTGCCAAACTGGCATGTTTGCTGAACAAAATGTTGCTCTCTCTCTGTAGTTTTGTACAGGCTATCCTCCAGGCTGAGGCATACTTCCTTCTCACCCTGGCCTCTTAAAATACTTAGATTATTTCAAAGTTGATGTAACTACTCTCTCTGCTCCTTAGGAGAAATCGTTTTCTGATCCCCCAAGTTCTGAGTACTCTTTCCTTTCTCAAAATATCTAATTGCTCATGATAACATGTTGTAGAAATTATTAGAATATAAGCTGTTAAAAGCAGAAATTTGTTTCCTTTTTTTCCCTTTTTTATTCTCTGTATTAATATGGTCCCTTGTATACAGCAGGGTGAATTGGGTGAAAACGCTATCTTTGGCTTTCCCTGACCCTTCTTCTCGTGCTCTACTGTCCTTTCCCTATTCTCTCCCTTTGGTCATGTTTATTGATTTCCACCTTCTTTTCTTTCCATCTTTCTTGATCCCCCATTATTAGTGTGAAATTTTAAACTCAAGAAAATGCTTCCCTCTTGACCTATAAATATATATAACAAGAGACAAAAATGACTAAGGAATTTGACAAAATTCAACTTGTTAAACTTCTAAAGTTAACAACCACCAAAGGTCCCGAGATAAAGGGATATCCAAAAGTACAATGATTAAGAACTCTCAGGCATTTAAGCAATTTACATAATGGATGATGAACACTCCTGGGACTGCAGTGAATTTTAATTCATCGTTTAAAATTATGAAATAATTTTACTGAAGTATCTTAATTGAAAAAAATGTACATTCATTTTGAAGATTTTGAAAAGAAAAAGCTTTATCTTAGAATGAAGTCACTGTTGACATTCCCTCTTCCTCCTGACTTTCGTGGTTCCATTCAAGACTCAGCTCAAATCAGACCAGCAAAAGGCCTTGCCCAGTCTCACCTACTCCTCGTTCCCTTCCTCTGAGATTACCTTCCATTTCACTTTATGTATTATATATGTATGTGGTCTTGCCTATTAGATTTTGAGCTCCAGAATCATGTTTTTGCCTTTCTTTGTATTCCCAGTGCTCATCACCATATCTGGCACATAGAAAGTGCTTAATGTTTGTTGACTGATTTGTAATGCTGCTGCCATTGCTAGGAACATTCTACATACTAGGCATCAACTAGGACCTGTAAACAGGAGTTTCCAAAATTTGGCTGCACCGTAAGATGGTGGGAAAACAGCAGTACTATGATCAGATACATATTTAACATATGCCACCCATTTGTAAGTGCATAAAAATTACAACACAGTAAAAATATAAAATTAATACATGTCAAGCAATAACTGACTGTAGATTTTTCAGGTGAAGCAGGAACATCAAATGTTTCATTAATATGGTTGTCCAGGTCTTGCTGGGAATGTGAGAAATGAATCTGGTTCCAACTGTTCTTCTTAGATTGTTTAGGTGGTAATGCAGGAGGCTGCCCATCTTCAGAAGTCTCTTGAGATCTGAAACACAGAAGGGAAAAATGGGAGAGAGAAGACAATTTTCTGAAAATAGTCAATAGAAGCATTCAGTTAAAAAAGAGGGCCATACCAAAAAATAAAATAAAATTAAAAAAAAGGCCAAATAACCTACATATTTACAATGTTTAATAGAGGTGGCTTTGATATAGTAATTCTTCACTATCTAAATGAAAATCCATTAACTTTAGATAACAAAGATTTAATCAGTTCCATTGTTGACTAAGTTCTTACTTCTACATATAAATTTATATACAAGTTAAATCTGCATAAAAATACATTTTAAGGAAAAATCTTGAGTAAGGTAAAATATTTTATTTTAGAGTGTTCCTGAAAAAAAAAACCAAAAACCCTGAGGCTGCTTTTCTTTTTTTTCTTTCCAATAATTTCTCTTCCTTCATTTTTTTCTTTATATTTTAAAATTAAAATTTTCTTTTTTATTATGAACTTAATTGACAAAAATGAAAAAAAATTATACATAAAAACATATGAAATTGTGAACTCCTATTATGTAGCTTTAAAATGTACATATCAATTTAACAGTATAGTTAATTTCCCAGCTTGTCTGGGTTCCCTTCTAAACTACTTTCTACTCTCTTCTGCTTAATTCTTAGTATTTAGAGAAGCCAGTTTGCAACAAGGTAGAAGGACAATAATCAAGAATTCTGAGATCAGAGTCAAAGTCATGGTCTAAAATATCAGGCCAAACTAGGAGACACAGGTAAGGTTTAGAGATGAGCAGGTAGGTTCAGGGGTTTCAGAGACTGAATCCAAACAAGGAACACAGGCAGAAGACTTGTCAAGAATATATAGGTTCAAAAATCAAGATATATAAAGAAGAGAAACCAGCAAGAAAGTATATTTGAGAGATCAAGAAATCAAGATGAGCATGAGAAAACAGGTGGGAAAAAGAGTTTGAATAGGGAGAGTTATCTCAGGGTCTGAAATAGCAATGCATATTCATTAAATAAAATAAAATTTTAAAAGCTGGATCCTTACAAAGGGTTTTACTCCCAATACAGAGTTAGTTAGTAGAAATGGTCATTTCTGATTCTAATTTTATGAATAAAGAAATAGACTCAGATTAGTTAAGTGACTTCCACAATCAAATGGCCACTAACTGGCTAAGTCAGGCCTCAAAACCATCTTTTGTCCCTAAATCTTGTGCTCTATTATGATATAAACTCAATATGACTACTGATCCCAGATAATCTAATTTCTGCTCTTTGTTTTAAATACAGCTTCACCAAGCCTGGCATGTACAGACTCTGTGTTTTCTCCAGTTCCTAAGCCACTTTGACACAGAGGTTGGTGCTCTCTATGGTGGTAGCCACTCCCAGGGAGAGGCTTTGCTGGAGGGGAGATGGGCACGAACTCTTCTGCTTCAATATTTCAACAGATCCATAAAGTCACTGATGTAGGTATTCCCTCTTAAGTCACAGCCTTCAGACAATCCACACCTTCTCATTCTGGATGATTTTTGAGTACCCCCATCAATTGCTCACTTATTCACATAGCCCCATCATTCCAAGACAGGTGGCCAACATCGAAGCCTTTCTCTGTATGTTTTAACATTACATAGGTAGTATCACAAGGTTACCAAAGAAAGGGAAGGGGAAGAGATGAGAAAAGAATAAACGTTTACTGTGCGTCTACTATGTATCAGGAATAGTTCTAAGCACTTTACAAATATCTCATTTGAACCTCACAACAATCCTGTGATAGATAGGTGCTATCATGATCCCCATTTTACATTTGAGGAAACTGAGGCAAACAGATTCAAAGTGACCTACTCAGGGTCACTCATTTATTAAGTGTCCAAGGCTGGGAATGAACTCTAGGCTCAGCATATAATCCACTGTGCCACTTAGTTGCCTAGAAAGAAAAAAAGGGCCCAAATGTACAAATATAGTTGTAGTAGTTATTTTTGTTGTAGCAAAGAACTGGAAACTAAGAGAGTACCTATCAAATAAGAAATGGCTGAACAAATTATAGTGTATGAACTTACTGGAATACTATTATGCTATAAGAAATGACAAAAGGAATGGGTTCAGAGAAACTTTGGAAGACTTTTTGAACTGAAGCAAAGTGAAGAGAACAGAATTAGGAGAACAATTTATGTAGTAACAAGAAAACTGAGAGAAAAAAACCACACTTGTTAATTGAAAAAAAAAATTAAGTTAAAAAAATACATATATAAGTACCAGTGTTGCATTCAGGCTATCCATTTATCAGCCCCTGTCCTTGCTCTAAATCATGATCATAATTTCTTAGATAATGTCTTTTATGCAACGTTTTACTCACAAATCTTTTTTTTATTACAAGCCATAACCTATTTGAAGCTACCATATGTTTCCATTTCTCTTTTGAGTTACCCATGATGTTAATTCTTCAGAGATTATAGCATTTGTGATTAATAACCATAAAGAATGAGTAAAAGAATATTGATGTTAAAAAAAATAGTTGTTTGACCAGTGTGGGACGGTTGATAGAATTCAATCTTTTCATTTTTTTGCATTTCTAGGCCCAGTTCATTGTCCATCTGCAATGTCTGTTGGACCAAGTTCATAAGCTGAAGAATATCCATCCAAATGAATAACAGAGTCTAGACAATTAGCCATTCTTCATCCATTTCATTTTTCCTGTGGAGATTGTTAACACTAAATTTCACTGGCTGACTGGGTTGTGAGCTCATGCTACAGTGTATGCTGGTACGATTAACTCAAATAATTTCAGTTGGAACCTATAGAAACATTCATGGAATATAGTCAGTACTAGGTAATGAGAGGCTATAGATCAGGACAGGTCAAAAGAGTCCAGGACAGAAAGTGAGGTTGGACTGGTGGGTAGATCATTTAGTGACATGCAGGAGAGAGTTCATAAGTACAGGGGTGGGTATGGGGGGAAGAACAATTAGTTTAGATATTGAGTATGCGGGTACTGTTTATCTTGAGGGCAGAACCAAGTAAGAAAGAATCTAAGGGAATTAAGCTCATCTGGAAAATGATACTGAGAGTCACAGTAGGTAATTTAGAGCAGAATTGCAAACACACAGCCAGGAAGGCCCCAGATGGCCCAAACACTCCCAAGCATGGCCAAAACAGATTAAAATGTAATTGGGAAGTAATAAGGAAAATAATAAGTAAATTAATGTAACTGGGAAGTATTAAAATACAATAAAACATTGATAATGTTAATATGTGATTTTCTAAGTCAATATGCCCCCACAGGGATCTTTATGTGTAGTTTGGTGGCCCTTGTGTCTATTTAAGTTCGACACCACTGATCTAGAATCTAAATTTAGCTCTAAACAACATGAATGGCACAGACAGGCAGGCAGGACAGGGATGTAACCGCTGGGGAAGTGGCTATTGAGAAGAATGAAATCCAAGTAGAAAGTACAGATTACAATTCAAGACAGGTATAAGGAAGAAGGAAGATAACAGTTCAGGCTATGATATGGAACAGGATCTCAAGCTATGGAACAGGTGGACAAATCAATATAGCAGAACATAATGAGCACTACTGTACCTTCTGCCCGGTTTTAGATAGCATTCCTGATTTGCTTAGGTAAAGGCTAGCGAGTCTGGGCTACTGCCCAGACTGAAACAGGATTCTGCAAGTGTTAGTGATTGAAATAGGGAGCTAAGTCTTTGAGGAAAAGAGGGTAGCCTATATAATGCTAACAAAGGTCCCCTTCTGAGTAGTTTATGATTTTAATGCTATTTTTTTAAAAATTAAAGTCACGCATATAAAGTAATGAGTTACAGTGTTATATAGCGGATAGAGGGATGACCTTGGAATTACAAGGACCTGGGTTTAAATTCTGCATCTGACACATACTAACGATGTGATGACCAGCTGGGAAGTTACTTTGGGAGCTGCCTGAGGCATTGAGAGATCAGAACTATAAGCTACAGAGGAGTTACCTATCTCAAGTTTCTCACACTAATGAAATCACAGGTGTTGACTAAAAAAGAGAAAAAGTAACATATAATGACTGATTAGTTAACCTGAATTCTAGGAACAAACCCTTGATTTACTTGCAGTGTAACAAAACAAAGCAGTTAAAATTTGCATCTTTTCATGCCTTAAATTCCTAAGCAGTTATGTTGACATGTGCCCCCTAATAAATGAAACTTCTTTTCTCAAGCAGATGTTATTAGTTATGTTTCTAAGATATATATTCAAAGGGTACTCACAAACCAGCGTAATCTGTACGGAAGCAATGTCTCTCCATTTAACACGTAGTCATTCTGCTGCTTACTTTTTAAAAAATGATCTGTGTCTGCTTTAGTCAGTGATGAGTTTTATAGGCAAACTAAAAATTATAATAAGGGAATTAAAATAGATTTAAAATAGTATCACTAAATAGGCCAGTTCTAATAGTAGTTCCTATTTTGGGGCCAATGTAAAAAATCTGTGTAATAGGGTGATGAGACATTGTGTACTAGGGAAGAACAACGAGGTAAGGCAGTGTAGGGGTGGGAGGGAGGAGGGGGACTCCAATTAGAAAGGAGGTTAAGGCCTACCAAGTACTTGAAGGTAGGGCCAAGTAATCCAGCCCTACAGAATGAATTTCTTTGATGCACAGGAGACTAACTAAGTAGGTCTATCTTACTTATAAAAAGGAAGCAAAGTATTCGCAATTTTTAAAAAACCTGTATATTTTAAAAAGTTTTACTGATTTACATTTATATCACATTCATTTATGAATATAAGATAAGCCCTCTCTCCCTCTTCCTTGCCCAGTGACATAACAAAGGAAAAGAAAAAAAAGGATTTCAGCAAAATCAATACACTGACCACTTCTTTTTCTTTTCTTGGTATACTATCAACAGTATAACAAACAATAAGACAAAGATAAAAATAATAATTTACTCAGCTGTGAAATCACAAAGTCAACTTTAACCATTAAAACTGCCAACTTGTCAATTCTGGAAAAAGAGCTTCACTATTTAGTTCTCTCAGGATATCAATTAAAA